ATATATGCTTTGGATAATTATGAAAAATCATAAAGCACAGTGGGATTAGAGATAAATGATTCAATACACATCATTGGTTAGTCTGGTTAATAATGTCAAGTGTAGCTGAATTTAGAATAAATTCTCTAAGGTTCCCGGATAAAAATGCAGTCTTTGGTCTCAATGAAAGAAGGAAAAGCCAGGGAAGCTTCTGGTTTTAGACGCAACTATCACAATTCACTGTGTCCCTTCCACAGAGGGTCACAACACACCTGCTTATGAGAGTTGGTAAGTCTCAACACAATCTGAACTCTGCGCACCGGCAGCAGAGACTATCTCCAAGGAAGGAAATTGGGTCAAGGGACAGGGGCAGAAACGACACTTAGTCTTTATCCCACACCTTTTACCTTTTGAAATTTATACCATGTGTGTATTGCCTACTCAAAAAACACACTAGCTTTAAAAAGAACATATTACGCAGCCCAGTCTGAGTGAAGGTTGAAGGGGCCATTCTTTTTCACCCCTTTTCTTCCAGGGTCCATTGGAGAAAGAGGGCACTGGCCCCCCAGGGAGTCCCTCTTCCGGGATCACTGGCGCCTCCTAGCAACAGAGAAGTCCGCAAGGCTAGAAGCACTGAGGGAGACGGGCGTAAGAGAGACAGCAAGACCAAAACTCCTGAATGCTCAAAGGCCACCCCAAGAAGGGAAAAGAGAGGAGGCTCACCTATAACCAGGTTTACACATGTTAAATTGAGTAATAAAAACTGAATACAAATGTCAGCAAGATATGTAATGCAAAAATAATAGTGCATTTAGTAATATGAATATAAATTTTGTTTATATTTTAAGAAACAAGACTTGGCTGAGGATAGGAAGGAAGAAAATAGAGTATTAATGCCTTCAAAATTTGTAGGTGATGACTAATGTTCCAAACAACTAGAAAAGATAAAAGAAAACATAACCCAAACAATGAAAGACAGGAAAAGAAAATAGAAAGGACAAAATATTTATACCAGACAAACATGTCAAGAGATCATACAAATTATCATTTTATCAAAACTGTTAAAGTTTCCTATTAGGTTACAAAAAAAGATTGGTTCAAATAACTAAATCCAAACATCTAAAACTAAGGCAGGTGTACACACATATTGTTAGAAAATCTGCTAATGCATCCAAAAAGAAAATAAAGGTGGTGATATTAGTAACAAAATGTATTACAAGGTGAATAAGGGCCACTTCATGTTCACAATAAAGACATAATTGATGAGAGTCTAAATCACCTAGCTTTAAAATGTGCAAAGGTTAAAACATTTCAAAATATAAGAAAACTTAAAAACAATGGTAATAGACTTGAACCTATTCACCTGTATCACTTGGTGTTCATAAGTTGAAATGGACCTAAGCAACATTTCAGCAAAAAGGAAGGATGTCAGGAAGCACAGAACTGGCAGAAGCCAAGGCTCCCATGCAGAGTGCCAATGAGCAGAAAAGGCAGACAACTTGGTTGTGCCCCGGCCTGATTACCCATAAAAGCAAGAGCAGTCAGAGGGCAGGGGGCGGGAGGAACACTGGTTGGCAGCAGCCTGTGGCCTGCAGTTCAGAGGCCTGAGCACTTGGGTGCACAGGCTCTAGTCAAGTTCAGGTCTACTCACAGGCTGTTCCTAAGCCAGTCCTGCCCCGTGGTAGTAATAAATGCCAAAGCTGGCCAAGCATGAGCTTCTCAGTCACTTTCACAGGTTGTGACTGCACCATAACCCATCCCCCTTCCCTGATCAACTGAATATTACAGCAATCTTTGTTGATCACTTCCAAAAATTAAAAATGGCACTTGAAGAGAATATTCATCTGGAAGAACTGGAAAAAAATCATACGTAATGAAAACATGGTCCATGTATGATAGTTATATTATGGGGTTCATAGCTGTAAAAAAAAAAAAGTTAAACTTTGTCTTCCTTTTGTAGTTTCATGCATTTTGTCAATGTGAGTGTTTTTTAAATTTTCCAACCTATCATTTGTCAAAGAAATTATGGAAACAATAAAACTGAAGGATAAACACTTTAAAAATAAGAATTCATACTCCAAGAAGTAAGAATCTTTCGACTTTTATTTCTAGGATACATTCATCTGGAACCTTTTGTTTCTTTACAATTTTCCCCCTACGAGAAATGAATACAATAAAAATATAATCAAACTACCAGCAATGTTTGTAACCAGAAAAGAATCTAAAATCTCTGGTGTGATAATATAGGATTTTTTTAAAAATATAAACTTCATACCAGAAATAAAGCCTGAATATTCTCTTTCTTTAAAAATATAATTTTTCCTTCTTTGCTCTTCCATGTAAATCTTATAATCAACCTGTTAGTTCTAAAGTCTATTTTTAAACCGTAGTTATAACACTATAGCAGGTTTTTTTCCCTACTTTGTATCTTGTTCTGTACTGTGAATCATTAATAATTGCGAAAGTCTTTTAAAAATGAGATTGCCACTAGCTTGTAGCAAGATTCTTCAAGATATACTGAAAAAAAAAAAACTTTTTTCCATAGCCAACAGAAATTTACTTAACAAATTATATTTTATCCTGTTTCTGAAATTAGAAAATGTATACAAAGCACTTTTGCAAACTGTAAAGCTCCAAAGGAAAACATTTTTTTAATCTGTTTTGACTAGAAAGGCTGCTGACTGGGATAGAATGTTAGGGGCACAGGCTGTGTGCAAATCCATTTTTTTTTTTTCTGCAATTCCTTAGCCTGGTGGCGGGTGGGATTAGAAACCGCCAAGAAGTTGGGCTATCAGTACAGAGTATCTCACAAAGATTGATTGGTTTGCAATAACTTATGCCTTTTTCTTAATTGAGAATAAAGACCAAGGGGCACAGGACTAGCTCTCTTTAGACCAATACTTTACACCAGACTAAGAAGTCAGGTCCTATGTCTCCAACTAGGAATAAGAAATAGAAGTTAGACAGCTTTTTCTTCATTTCTAACTGGTTCCTCCATGCCGTGCTTCATTATCTGAAGTATATAATCCATTTTAAAATAGGATTCCAAAACCCAAAATAAATGGCCTGGAGATGATCTCTTTTTCTTAATTTAGGAAGATAATTTTTTTAAAAAGCCTAATTATAAACAAGGGTACAACATACCTGAACCACAAAGTGGCACCCTCCCAACTCCAAATAAACAGCATTATCCATTATCAACGTTTTAGGGTATTTGCTAGAATATGGGAGGTTAAGTAAAGGATTAAGCTTCGTAACAATGTCAGTGAGGGCTCCCTTCTTGTTTGCTAGAATGTCAAATAAACACAAAAGAAACTTCTTTCCATGAGTCACCTTAATGAAACTGTACAGGCCTATGAAGGCAAACCCAGCAATAAAGGGCTGCAGAAACTTGGTCATTTGTACCTAGACATGGGTGACTAAAAAGAATCTTTACCTAAAAACGAGTGAACTGACAAGAGGGAATGGGTCAGGGTTGCTACATTTAAAAGGTTTTGCTAACAGAGTTGAGCACAACAACAGGTGTGCTGTGCCTCAAGGGCCTGTGACGCCTCCTTTCTTGAGTTTCTGAGTGATCTTCCTGGGGCTCTCTGGGAGCAGGCCCAACTTAGCACGAGGAATGGGCTAAATGGCCTCTTTGGGCCCTCTGATGCACTTACCCTTTCCTTTAGTGCCCTCTTTCCCCAAGAGAATATTCAGGCCAGTTTTGTTTTGTTTTCTGCATTAGTAAGAATTATAAACTAGCAATGTGGAATACCCCTAACTCTCACTGAGTGACTTATGTTAGTATAAGATACCTCGAGTAATAAGAATGGAGAACTTAAATGCCATTTACAGAACAGTCAAACAAGCCTGTGTCACACTTTGATGAATCCAAAGTATTAAAATTTAGCAATGATAAGTGAAAAACTATTTTTGTCAAGGCTTAACTATTGGACTTTAAACCAATTCCAATATTCAAAGGTAATCAAAGGTCATTTATATTGAGTTAACACGCCTTCATGTTTTCTACATACAACAAAGATTGTTTTTGAATACACATATATTTTAAACCAATTTACTTCCTTTTACAATCATACCTTCAGTCTAACATTTAAAATATAAATCCAAACTGTCCATGAAAACAACAGTGGACCAAGTGACAGTATCATTTAAATAAAACAATAATGCAAGAAAAGGTCAGCAGTAAGACTCAGAAAATAAACAAATAGATTCACTGGCAATCTGCTCATACGCCTAATGTGTTCAGAAATGAACTTCACACAGAACATATCCCACTGTGATGTTAGACAACTCATTCCTTTCTCATTTTCTCATTCCATGGTGCATGTCTTTACTATTTTTACTGAGGCTTATACAGTGATTGATATCCTAATAGCAGAGATTAATATTAAATAAACAGCCTATTCCGAAATTGGCATGTTTCCAACAATTGTTTTGTGTGTTCCCTGAATTATAAAATAGTCCAATCTTTTAGGAGCCAAAAAAAAAGAGCTTAGATATATTCATACACACTGTGATTAAATGTTACTAAGACAGTAAGGTGGAAAAAAGGAATAGAAGGGTACAAAGTAAATTTTCTCCAAACAATTCCATTATATTAGTCAGTACTGTCAATGATATATATTTATTTTAATCAAGTTATGGAAAAAAATGAAAGAATTATTAACAGCATTTGCATCAATTTTTTGGAGAGGCTAACAATAAAACATTAAATATACAAATTTACTTGTATATTTATTTGAAGAATCTTTGGTAGCAAATATGTGTTTCTTCCACATTATAGGACTTTTTAAAATCAATGTCAAAAATTAATTTACTAATCAGCATATGAAAGATAAATTATGGTACTATTCTTTTGGTTTCCCTATAAAATGTCCTTGAACCTGACTATCAACTTGCACTATTTATGCACTTAAACACAGTATCTGTTTAACTCATATACATACAAAATGAGAGACTGATACCAGAAAGAAATTAGACAGTAATGAGAATCAATGACAAAACATAACAATGACAACTGTTCTTAAGTAATTTATTTTTAAATTATAAGATTTACAATGCTTTGATTATGCAAAATAGCATAAAAGAAATTAAATCAATAAACCAAAAGAGAAAGAAAACTTAGTTTTCTTGAGTAACCATACTTAAAGCCATCTTTGTAAGTATCTGACATCCCAACCATGTCTCACGTAGAAAGTATAAGTTTCAAACGTTTCACTTGCAGGTTTAATTTCTCATTTTCACTTTTTATGAACTGTAATGTAATTTATTTCAAATCCTATTATACCCCACTGCAACAGCAGCAAATCTCACATGTATAATCAAATGTGAAACCGGGGCACAGCTTTTTGCTTTTAGCCGCAGACAGAAATTATAGACTGCATTCAGTACAGCAGAATACACTGTATTAACCAGAGCGTGGAGTTTAGTACACTTATTGCAGGGTTGGTATTTCCTTCCCTCTGATCTGAGCCAGCTGAGCTCCTGAGCAGACATATTACTGCTGTGGATAGTAGGACTGCGCTGGGGGCTGAGGGAAGGGATACGAAGGCTGCTGGGGTGCCGGGTACGGAGCCTGTCCGGGGCTCTGGTGATACACGGGTGGATACGGCATATTGTACTGGCCGTAGGCATAAGGGTTATAGCCCATGGGCATGGGCATTTGGCAATACCTGATAGGGAGAAGAAAACAAAAAAACTGGATTGGTAAATAAAATACTAGAAAATTAAACATACAATGATTATTCCAAAACTAAGTTTTTTCACAAAAGCCATTTTTCTCTATTTTTTAGTCTATTAAAGAACACTGGAGAGGGGAAAAAAACTGTTTCAAGGTACTTGTCAGAGAAAAGCATTCCTATCCTGTTATTAATTAAGATGAAAGAATATCAAGTATTTAATACTATCTAGAAAATAATATCACTGAAGGAAGTGAGATTAAATATTCAACACTTAAAAAATAAAAATGGAGACCCTTCATTTTAATGCGGCAAAACTTATAGTCTAAAGACATTTCTCTTCCACAAGACTCAATATTCACTGTAGTGAACATAAATTTGCTGTTTATGAAGTTCTAATATTTAGAAGAAAAAACGTTCTTAAGCAAAATTTAGAGCACATCTTAAAAGGCAGTCAAATGTCTGGATTTTTATGATTATGAAATTACCACAAAGGTGGTTAATCTTTAAGAAAGTACATTCCATAATTAGACAAATTTCTGTTCACCAGTTTATCAAATGCCAAAATTTCAAAGTACAGGGATATAAACAAAGGCCTTATCAGTCTTGTTATGCTAAGATCAGAAAAGGCATCTATCAGTTTATCATCTAAATAAAGAAAACCAAGGAAATATATACTGGATTCCATACCAAAGAAATGTGTTTAATATAAGCCCAATATGCAAAATATAAAAACATAAATTTGAAAAGCCCAGGAAATGGCCATTCAACTACTCATATAAGTGACCATAACATTATTTTTATTTCTGGATAAGCTGACTATGCAGTTTATGTATTCATGACACCTTCATTTATAGAAGTGGTGACCCTGTTTTCAAAAGGGTAGCCAGAGCTAGAAACACATTAGCCAAGTCCTTAAAATATACACTGTTGCAGCCTTACCCGGGATATCCTGGATAGGTGGGATAGGGTGGTCCCTGGGCCTGTGGAGGGGGAGCTGAGCCAGGGGTTTGTGACGGAGCTGGTGCAGTGGTCCCAGCCCCCACTGGAGCCGGAGCAGTGGCAGAAGGAGCTCGATTTGCTGGAAGCACAGGAGGTGGAGGCCGAGCTGGGGGCTGAGGCTTAGTAGGCTATAAGGAAAAGTCAGCATTAATTACAAAATGTTTTATTTTTCTCTCAAATTGCTATTGATTAAAATAAGTGATGGTGTGCTATATGAAAAGCTCTAGAATCCAACCAAATGTATTTCTAATTTCCATTCTTAAATGTTGGCTTATTACTCTAGAAATGTATCATAGTTGAAGAATAATTCTCCAATGTGTAGAAACACCAAAACCACTGCTCTTTTCCTGATGCCTATTTAATCATTCACTACTTCCACCAATGGCCAGATATTGCAGGTGGATGGAAGAAGCACACATGAGGTTTATTATTGTAATCTACTCCCAGTCCCCAAACTATATGAAAATTTTCAAACGCCAGATAACTTTAAAAGAATAGCATATAAAACAATCACATATCTACCAATGAAATTCAATAACTATTAACATTTTGTATATCTGCTTTATCTATATTTATATCCATATATTTATCTATCTACATATTTGCAGAACCATTTGAAAGTAAGCTGCAAACTTCATAACACCAGCCATGAAGACTTCAGCACTCAAGTCCTAATAAGGGTATTCTCCTTAATCACAATACCATTTTAACCCTAAGAAAATTAATACCTATTCCTCAATATCAGTGAATATCCACTCCAGATTCAAGTTTCCCTATTTATCACAAAAAAGCTCTTGTAGCTATTTTATAAACCAAAGTCAAGGTTCATATACTGCATTTGATTATAATAAATTTTTCATTTATGTTAATCTAGATTATACCCCAGTCTTTTTTCAGACAGATGACATTCAGTTTTAGAAAAGACCAATCCAGGTGTCTCACGTAATGTTCCATGTTCTGGATTTGTCCAATTGTTTCCTAATGGAACAGTTTAACTTCTGATTTTATCACTATATTTGCTGTAAATGCAAAGTTAGTACTAAAGACTTGATTAGATTCAGATTAAACGTTTTTTTTGGCAAGATTTCATGAGTGATGCTGTGTTCTACATATTGCAAAACATCAGAAAGTTGATCACCTTCAATGTAAAATATTTTTTATCCTTTACAGCAGGGAAGCTGTCACTAACGTAAAACCTCCATTTAAAAAATTTGTGTACTAACCGGCATGGTTCTTGGCGCTGGAGTTGGAGGAGTTGGTGCATGTCCTCCTGCTGGAGAGGACTGATAGGCAGGTGTAGGAATTGAAGGAGCACTAGGTTCTCTGGCAATGCTTTGTTGCAAGTCCCTTATCAAAGACAGAGTGTTGAAATTTAACACAATAAGAAAATGTAATGCACATAAAATACCAGATCTTTTTTATTTTTTTTTCATACATGAAACAGAAAATGGACCACAAACAATGATGGCATTTTAAAATATAATACACTTCAAATTAGTACAGCCACTATGGAAAACAGCATGGAGGTCCCTCAAAAACCTAAAAATAGGTCTGCCATATGACTCAGCACTGCAGGTTATGTATCCAAAAGAAAAGAAATCAGCATATTGAAGAGGTATCTGTATTCCCATGTTTTTAATTTCTCATTTTCACTTTTTATGAACTGTAA